TGTACCTGGATTCTCAATTACTCTCATGCTTATAGTAAGTAGGACCGATGACACGTATGTAATTTTCTATTTATTGTGTATTTTCTTATAATTTTCATTTTTGTCTGACGATCTCAATATAATTTCTTATACTTTGACATGTACTTTGACATTTGAGAAATAAATGAATCTGAATCAATTACTATGCTATGCATTGTAATAATTGAACGTATTCATGAAAAAGTACAGAAAAGTTTGTAAAGAGAAGGATAGACTGAGTTCATAGGGGGCGCCACTAGCGTACCACAGTCAGACGGAACGAAACGCCAATGATGGTAACGAAATTTCAAGCGATAAGGTGAGATAGGAGGATTGAAGGATTGAAGAGAACTCGGTCTATTTGGAGCGGAGGAAAAAGGATTGTAAAGGAAGTGAGTGATGAGTGAATAGAGTTATTGAAAAGTGAGTATGTTTACTTGTTTTATTCGTATCTGCCTATTTTCCCTTTATGTAACCAACGATTACGTTGAAGTTTAACTCGGCATTTCAACTACATATTACACAGGTAAAATATTTTCTTTAAATTTGAATGAGACCACCTATTTTGAGACAACCTATCAAATGAAAAAAGGAATCATCGAAATCAGTTCACAAATGTCGGAGTAAGAACAAAGAAAATACAACCGAATTAACACCTCCTCCGACAATTTTTTTCTAAAGAGCATACAGATAATGTCAACTTCTGTAAAAGAGACAAAAGGGTACCGTGTTGTAAAAAAATAAAAAGAATCTCCTAAAGTTTTCTAGTTCCAAACAAAAATACTAGCAACTATAAATTTTATAGGAACGAATGTTAACTTATATACTTACCTCCTTTTTTCTTAAAATTGTTTAGTTTAGTCCAGAAGTAGTGTACTAACTTTCAAACATGATTGTAGGGTAGAAATATACTATAAAATAAAACCCATACCATAAAACGAAACTAAAGAAAGAAAAATAGTCTTTAAACGTGGCTCCATTAGGCTCAACTCACACTGGCGCAGAGTCGAATCGTCGCGACGCGTCATGTTTTTCGCCTATAGCATATTCATCTCTATTTTCCCATTATTAAAACGAGTTGAAGACGAGTATAGTAGCAGTAGAGCTCTTTGTCAAAGAGTTTGTCCAAAGAAGTACTGCCACCTTACCTGTTTCTGCCCCAAGCAGTAATGTGACCATTACTGCGTTCCGGTTTCGAAGAGTAGGGGTGCTGGTGAAATTACAGGCACATGCGACTTGTCAACTTACGTCTCAGGGTGTCGGGCGCAGTGGCGGTGCCTTTCAAATTTTTATGATTTAAAGGTCTGAGTGACACTGCAATTATTAGGGACAGGCGTGACGCTTACCACCAGGCATACGACTTGTTCGTCCCGTCACTCAGTAGTGACGTAACACACAACACACATACTTTCACAAACGAAGTTTATAAAAAAAGAGCGGTTTCGCGCGTCGCCGTGCTCTAATGCGAGAGTCGTAACGCGACAACGCGCGTCGCCATGCGCTTAAGTTGAAAAACAGGACGCTACTCGACGATTCTGCGCCAGTGTGAGTTGAGCCTTAAACCAACCTCTGGTATGCGTTTCGCACACTTCATAGGCCCATATCTATAAAACAAATATATCCCCTAACGAAATACCAATGCAAGAAAAAGATAGTTAATTAGCTTAAAGATTTTAATTATGATGAAACTGAAAGTCTTCTATCTATCTATACGTTCCTAATATTAATCAATAAATATTAATTATCACAATAATTAATATATATTTGTTATTGATCGTTCCATAGCTGATACTTGTAACAATTATATATATTGTATACACACATATCTACTACCTCATACAAATACACACACACACACACACACACACACACACACACACACACACACACA